CAACCACCACTCTCCAATGTGAGAATATTTATGCTTGTGAACCACAGCTTGTCATATGCTTCTACATAGGAGAGCTCATTTGTCGGCCAACTGGACAGTGGGTCACATCTCCAAACCACCGAGGGATTCTTAACATTGAGCATCACTGTATAACAGTTTTCTAGAGCCTCATCGGGCGACTGCTTGAGGGTTCTCGACAAGCTTATATGTGGCTACCGTAACAGCTAAAGAATGATATGCACCAAGGTATCTCTCCCCGTTAAGAAACGTGTTACTTTCATCATTGTGTGTTCAATGCCAGATGAATAAGAGGATGGATTTTAGGTAGCAAAGCGTTATTGCAGCGAATGAATTATCGATTGTTGTTCTGGTCATGCGTCTCATTTTGAGATTTATTGCCGCACCTTTTAACTAACTGTGTATAAAAAAATTTAAAATATGCGAAATGTTTCGAGTTTGCACGTTAGAGTTGTACGAACGGCTGCAAGCTCGTAGTTTTCCGTGACGCTGCCATGAAACTGGTGCCGGAAACATAAACATGGTAGCGATTGACGTAGGCAGCGTCAGAACGATACGATGATACATTGCTCCAAAACCGAGTCAGATGCAAAAGGCAGTTGCGCATGGAAAGCATGTGTGTAATTGAAAGTGGTCCATAAAAACACATTCCAAACTACACATCGTCAGACGGTGGTGGCGGCAAGGAACCACACTCGTTTGATGCTCCTGAAAATTGTCAATGGTGAAATACGACAGATATTACTTGAAATATTTGTGCATATAAGTAAATTTCAACAATGAATTTACATACTTCATTGAATGATTAAATCTCTTTGTAGTGCCGTTCAAATGTTACTCCTGCTTTAAATTTGGCAGATTGCCCTCTTTGTTGAAACGAGAATTTTTACCTGAAAATCAAATGACCTGTTCTGTAGCACTGACTATGCGCTACGGTTGGAGTTCTACGCTTTCAACAGGCTTAGCTGATCGACTTGGTGGAACGGAGCTTGCGAATGGAACGTTCGAAATTTGAAATATTAATGCTTCAAAATTTGCCGATGATGACTGGCCTTGCCAATTACACGTGCACGCATGTTTCATCTATATATACAGAATTAATGATTATGCCATTCATTAAGGTGATTTTTGCCTATGTATAGAGTACGTGAATGGATAGTCTTTCATCACACAATTACTTAATGGCATATTTTGTTAAATACGCGTTGAAAAATGGAATACAATATAGTTATTTAGTAGAAAACAATATAATTACTTCAAACCTTTATC